CTGGGACACACAATAAGACCTTGTCTTCAAGAGAAGAACTTGCCAGGGAACTGGAGCTTCAACTTGTGAATGTCTTAACCTTTTCTCAGGGCTCTCTAAGACCCTGTAGAACAGAGAGAAGGCTGAAGACATTCCCACCTGCCTAATCATCGTTTTCGTGCCTGACCTCAGAGCTTTGGTGCAGCTTCTTCCTGGTTTGCCTTCATCTGTGAGCGCCCAGGAGCCAGTCACAGCTTTTTATTGTTGGCTGACTCAAGTTCTCAGCGACCTCCGCACAGGTGCCTCATTTTTGGCTGGGTTTTGGTGTTTCAGATTCTGATGCGGGCCTCACACACACACAGCATTGGCTCTGTTAAGGCCTCCCACACAAACGCTGAAGCCTCAGCATTAACACCACCTGTGACCACAAGGTGACTTTCCTCAGGCCAACGTCAGGTGCACCCCAAGCCTTGGAGCCATTACCCCATGCTTATTCTCAAACAACTGGACTTGGATGCCTCATGAGCCCAGCCCTTGCAGACTGGCTGAGCAGTCTGCTTTACCTTCCAAGAGCTAGATGGTTTAGGCTGTTCTTTTGTGTCTTTGTCTTTTTCTCCCTGCCACACCCCCACCCCCATTTGGTTTTTCTAGATAGGTTTTTCTGTAGTCCTGGGTGGCCTGGAGCTCGCTCTACAGACCAGGATGACCTTGAACACACAGATCTGCTTGCCTCTGCCTCCCACCTGGCTGTGACTTTGTCTCCATGGGCAGAGCTCTCTCTACCCGAGTGACTCCCACCTGGCTCTGTCTTTATAGGCAGGGTTCTCTCTACCCAGTGACTCCCACCTTCTGCAGTTCTGCCTCTACCTTTTCAAGCGGAACAATTTCTTTCTGACACAGCTCAGGAAGTCTTGTCCTGACGCGTTCGGGACAGACCTGGGTCCAGTTTCAGCCCTGCTTTTTTCCAACGGGCTTGGTGCGACATCATCCTTTTGAGCCTTAATTTCTTTGTATGTGAAACACTGCAAGGTTGCCAAGACTGTTGAAAGTTAGAATTTATGAGTGACAAGTGCCTTGCATATAGTAGGTTTTTAGACATTCTTGAACCAATCTGCCCTGAAATGTTTGCTAGGTCCTTCTAGTAGGTGTGTTTGATGTGAAGTCTTTATCTAATGATGATGGACCAGACTAAACATGAAGACACAGGAGAAACATGTCTTCAAACAGGTTGATATTTGTTCAGGTGCTCTCCCTGGTGACGAAATGCCCCCATATTTAAATGGCTGTGTGGTTGGTATTTAACTGTATGTGTTGATCCTGAGCAAGTTGGAGAGAAAATGGAATGCAGCCTCCACTACTAATCTCATTCTGTAGCCTCAGCTTTTGTGGTGAACTATTTTATTTTTAAATAAAACCAGATTAGAGTGTGTTTACTCTGAAAGCTGGGTCCTGGTGACCTGACTAATGGTTTCAGCATAGGTATGATGTTCAGTGAGATGTGAAATACGTTCAGTAAGAATGAGATCCAGCTGAGGTGTGTATGATGTCTGAAGGCACAATGCTAACTAAGGGTTTCTGAAGCGGTTGATAGAAAAGCACACTTCCCTTGTGCACCATGGCATGACATGTACACAGCACATACCCCTTGTGGGCTGTGATGTGTAGACAGCGGAGCACACATGGGCAGTGTACTGTGTTTAAGATCTTCACCAAAGCTGAAGACAAGTGGCGTCCTTCTTAAATGTCAGTTCTGTCACTTCGTGGTAGTAGATTTAATTTCCTTACCAATATTCAAAGTGTTCCCAACAGTGGTGTGCAGTGAGTGCCTGTCACTCAACAGCGGCGTGCAGTGAGTGCCTGTCACTCAACAGCGGCGTGCAGTGAGTGCCTGTCACTGTGGTGTTCTCCAGCTGGCCTTTGTGCTGTCACCGCAGCAGCTCCCAGATGCCATGTTATTCACTTCCATTTTCTAAACCGGATTTTGGGGTGGGGTTGTTCTTTGTGGTTCTGTTAATCCAATCCAGGGCTTTGATTTTGCTAGATAAGTGCTCCACCACTGACCTACATTCTCAGCTGATAAGTTGAGGGTTTGTTTTTTGTAGGTGACTTAGTGGGGGAACACACTGGAGACAGAACCTAGGGCCTTCCACATGTAGCAAACACTCTCACTAGGTTATATGCCCATCTGGTAGCTTTTAAGAATGATAGTCATTAAAAGATGGGCACAGTGGTGCATGCCTGCCCTCTCAGAACTCAGAGGCTGAGGCAGGAAGATCACAAACAAGTTCAGGGCCTGCTTGGGCTTCCCTGAGTTCAAGTGAATTCAAGGCCAGTTAGGGAAATTTAGTGAGACCCTATTTCAAAATTAAAACTAGAAAACGCCAGAGATCATTGGCAATATGCCCAGCAGGCGTGGGGCCCTGGGCTCAGTCACCAGTGCCACAAAAGGAACAAAGCACTCACGTGCACCTAGCCGGGTGAGGTGTAATCCCTGTACCCCAGAGGCCAAAGCAGAAGGACCACACCTTCAGGGTCCCCTTGGACTACAGAGCAAATTTGAGGTCATCCTGGGCTATATAATAAGATCCTGTCTCAGACAAACCCAAAGCATACAGGATATGAAAAGTCTTGTTGTGTGTGTGCTGTGTGTTCCACAGCACGAGTGTGGCCAGAGCACAACTTGGGAAAGTTGGTTCTCTTTATCAACCCTGGTGACCAGTGGGGTGACAGATGTCGCGGCCAGATCGCCCTCACATCCGGTTCTCTTTATCATGTGTGTTGCAGGGTCCTGAGGTTGTTGGGCTTGATAAGAGCCCTTAACTGTTGAGCAATTCTAGTCTTCATCTAAGGAAAGTGGATACCAAGTCAACAATATTGACCCTTCAGGGTTGTTAAAGCAATTCAGGAAAGAACATGGAGTCAGACTTGGGTATATATACTCATGTATGACCTGGTACCAGCTAGTGTCTTCCTGTCTCTGAGGAACCTTTTAAGGTTCTTGTGAAGATAAAATGAGACAGTATGTCTAAGAATAGGTTTGTGTGTAGCAAGATGACCTAATAGCAGGTAAACCCCATAAGCCTGATGACCTGAGTTCAATCCTCAGGACATCTCCATTGTGAAAGAAGAACCTGGCTCCTAAAGTCCTCTGACCTCATGCATGCTGTGGCACGCCCCCATCCCTGCACACAGACCCGTGCTAATAAAGTGTTTTATAGAAGAATGGAAAATAGGAAAGTAGTTTGGCTTGTTGATTGGTGCCACTCTGGTAAGGGTGAGCTGTCACTGGTGTCCTTGGCTTGTATATATGTCTCCACTCCCATGTTCCCCAGTGGTCGTCATGTGAACTTGTGCCTATGAACAGAGGGCAGTGGTGGACTTAGGAGCCAGCTCCTCCCCTTGACCTTCTTCCTAGAGTCACTTCTCAATTCAGGGCACAGTTCAGCTGTGCCATCACATCTAGCTTGTGCTGATGGAGGAGGGTTATCTGTCTATTGTGTTATTTTCATTGGTCAATAAAGAGACTGCCTTGGCCCCTTGATAGGGCAGAAAATTAGGTAGGCGGAGTAAACAGAATAGAATGCTGGGAAGAGGGCAATGAGGCAAAAGCCATGGAGCCAGCCACCAGGTCAGACATGCTGAATCTTTTCCGGTAAGCCACGACCTCGTGGTGCTACAGATTATTAGAAATGGGTTAATATCAAGATATGAGAGTTAGTCAGTAACTAACTCTCTAGAGATAATGGGCCAGGCAGTGCTTAAATGAATACAATTTGTGTGTTGTTATTTCTGGGACTAAGCTAGCCATGCAGGAGCCGGGCAGGATGAAAAACAGGCCTGCCCGCAGCTCCTTTCTACATTGTGCCTTTATATAGTGCACAGAGCATTTTTAAGGAACAAATCACGCTCTGTGTCTAAGGTAGTTTTAAGATTTATCCTTAGGAAATTGTGAAATATGTACATAAATTTAAAGATAAATGGATTTATTGATACTCCTAGAATTTCAGGAAGAAAATAACCAAAGAGTACTAAAATATGGTGTAGCGGTTTGATGGGATTAGGCAGAGCTATCTTTGGTGAAGGCAAAGGTACGGCTCGGTTAGAATGCTCGCCTAGCATGCACAGACACCAGGTCCCAAGTCCAGCTTGTAATCTTAGCCCTCAGCGCTCGGGCAGGGGGGCCAGAAGTTTAAGGTCACCCTTAGCCACTTGTCACGTTGAGGTCGGCTTGTCTTATCAATAAATAGATCAATAAATAATGACTGGGCATGGTGGCGCACGCCTTTAATCCCAGCACTCGGGAGGCAGAGGCAGACAGATCTCTGTGAGTTCAAGACCAGCCTGGTCTACAGAGTGAGTTCCAGTTCAGGCCCCAAAGCTACAGAGAAACCCTGTCTCAAAAAAAGAAAAGAAAAAAAGAAAAAAGTCTTTGGAAATTTATGTGAGAATGCCTGTAATTGAAGCAGACCAAAGATACAGTATAGTCATTTTGTTAAAATGGTATAGTTTTAGAATACACCTAAGAAAAGGTGGGATAGAACTTAGCAGAAATATTCAGAGCAGTTGCCTCTGAGTGCAATTTAAGATGATTTTAGTCTCATGGTTTTTTTTTTAATTTTTTATAAACTGATAAATTTGAACTAGAAAATTCCACAAAATTATAGAAAATTTTGCTCGTGGGATAGTAACTGTTAGTGTTTGCAAGCATTGGAGCAAAAACAATTGAGTCTGAATGGTTAAATTTTATAAGGATGTTTAATTCACGTAACGATATTTGTCAGAGTATAAATGTACAAATGCGTGTGGCTCGGTAGGCGAGAGACTTGGCAATGTCAGAGCTATAAGTAGCACCAGGGCCCTGGCAGCGTCCATGGTTTTCCTCTGTCAGCTCTACGGACAAGTATTTAATAACAGGTTTGAAAAATGCCCCGTTACACAGAGTCTTGTTTTTGCTCTAATTTGCCTTTATGAAATGAAAGCCAATTTGATCTTTTATTTTAGTTTTTAAAATCTCTTTCTAGGTTAAAAATTTTGCAGTTATTTATCTTGTGGATATTACGGAAGTGCCTGACTTCAACAAGATGTATGAGTTGTACGACCCTTGTACTGTCATGTTTTTCTTCAGGTATGTTCTCTTCACGTGGTTTCTTATGGAATACTGTTGGTGGGACAGAGTCTTCTGCTGAGAAGGAGCTCAGTTGTGCAGTTTTGCCACAAGGCAGTCAATGTGAATCTTTTAAATGATTTCACAGGTTTAACATTCACTCAAGAACAAATTACATATTTGAAATACTGTGTAGAAATTGGTGTGAAGTATAATTAAATGGAAAACATTCTTGCATGCATTTCCGATGCCTTCAAATAAAATCTGTTGATGAATAATATTTTAAAGTGTAACTTCACTTGTTAAATATTATCATTGACTTTATTTATTTACTGGTCTTTGATAAAACTCAAGAAAATCTGAACTTAAGTACTTGGCTTATGCAAATCAAAATTGTTTCATCATCTCAAACACTGCTGGAAATTTGGAAAGACATCTCCATTTCACACTGGCGCTGACATGAAGTTTTCCCTGAGTAAGTTGGTATAGTCACAGACCTCCAAAAGCTGTGTCCACATTGCTAAGCAGGGTTATGTGCATCATCTTATACAGAGACTTAGCAGTGTAAGCTGACTCTCATGTATGACCTTACACTTCTGGAAATAAGCAGGACCAGCTGGTTCCCTGCCAGGGTGTCACAGGCCTGACTTGTAGGCTGCATAATTGTCTGGAGGCCCTTCTGAGTGTCTAAGGCTTCTTGCTGCTTCTTGCTTGCTTGCCACCCTGCTCTTAAATGCTCCTCCACCAGGAGGAGGCAGCATCCGATGCTGTCACAGAAAGTCCTTTTTCTTTCTCTAAAGATTTATTTATTTATTATATAGTGTTGTATTTGCATGTATGTCTTCACGCCAGAAGAGGACAGCAGATCTCATTGTAAATGGTCGTGAGTCACCATGTGGGTTGCTGGGACTTGAACTCAGGACCTCTGGAAGAGCACAGTGTTCCTAACCTCTGAGCCATTTTCCCAGCCCTGCAGCGAATCCTTTTTATACTGTCCTGACTTCCGGCTCCACCTCTCAGGGGGTGTTATGCTCACCTGTGTCATCTAGAATAATCTCCTTTTTAAAGCCAGCTGCTGAGGAGCTTGATGCACATCTGGAATGTCCTGCACAGTGTCCCATGCCAGAGTCACAGGCAAGAAGAGCTTCTGCAGTCACAGGGTCACAGGGAAGTATCGTAGGATTTTCCCTGCTACTCCTGAAGATTGTCATCCTTCCCATAAGCAAAGCAGGACTGTCCCCAGGGTTCCCAAGGACCCCTTGAGACCTCATGCCCGGAACAGCTCCCCTTTATCTGTGCGTCTGTGAAGCTGAGACCTAAGGAGGCCTCCAGCAGTCCAGGTTCAGAGGAAATGGGTGGGAACACACCCCTCCCCCCAAACACACACAACCAATAGGGCTACACAAACTTTTTAGGTAATGTGGCTTGAGAAGGGGTCTGACCAAGTCTCCTTTTGATTGGTGTTTATAACTGAACAAGTCGATCAGCCTCTTGCAGCCACAGTGGGGGCCATTCCCTTCTCTCCAGTCCTTTCTGACCTCACAGTTTGAAGGTGCAAGTTAAACAGAGGTGGTGTCCCAGCTTCAGATGCCTCCTGTAGACTGGGAAAGCCACCCACGCCTGGGAGACACCCACCTTATCTCCTGTGTCTGAGTGCTCTCCTGTGGTTATTCCAGGCCGCAGCATGAGTTCTGGTGGCCATGCCCTTGTCCTTCTGTGCCACGTGTTCAGCTGCCATTGCAGAATCCCAGCCTCTTATTATCTGCAGAGGCTGGGAATTTAGTCTTCTCATTAACAGTCCTGTGCCCACTCATCTCTTCGTTTTACTGACAGTGAGGAAGCTGGCAACTCTTCCTTGTTTGGACGTCAAGTCTGCTAGAAACACAAGCACATCACAACCAAGTTCAAGTCACTCCTAGTGTGCACCCAAATTCTTTCCTCTTCTAGAAACAAGGTCCTCCCTTCAGGTGGGGTAGTCTTACAGAGGCAGTGCTAGGCATGGAAGGAGGTTGTAGGGAACAATGTTGATGTGTAGACAGGGACGTGGCTGACACATTTGAGGTCTTTAGGACAGCTGGTGTACTCAGAACAGAAGATGAGCTTCCTCTTTGCTCTGTAACCCAGAGTGTAGGAGCAGTCGCTTCATGCACCAGTGTGCACGTGCAGTGTAGGACGGAGTAAGAGAAGCCAGGCTCCTCTTTTTACAGACCTTTGCAGAGACATCACTGAGGAAGGAGCCTGTGTGAGTCACACAGGGCTGCCAGGTATGTAAGAGACCAGTTATGTTCAGGGTACTCAGCATAGATGTACTCAGCACAAAGAGTAAGCAGGCAATGCGGGCATCCACCCCATTCCTAGGCTAATCGAGGACATTGAATGGTAACCTGGGAGCAGATATTTCACACACAGATATTTTGTCAAGCTGACCTCTTTGCTGCTCTCAGAACTAGTGGATCATGATCTGGACTATAGTTGAAACCAGATGTGTGATCCCATAGAAGTGAGAAATTAAACAAAAAAATAGATCTTTAGGAAACTTGGAAAAATTCATGCAAGTACAACAGGAGTTAACATCTTTATTCAGAAAATGCAAGTACAGGTTCCTAGGGGGCGGGGCCCAACCCTCGAACCTCTAAAGGTTTTCTGCTTCCCAGTCCCAGCAGGCAAGGGTGTGCAAGGTCACCATCCTCACTTCACAGTTACAGGGCTTTGGTAGAACTACCAAGTTCCTGTAAGCAAAACATGCAGAGGTTACATATTGCCTTTTCAGGAAAATTAGCACAACTCTTTGGAAAACTACTTATCTTTCCAAGTGATACAACTGCCTTTTGGCCTTTATAGTCTTAAGATATGAATGCACAATTGCAGGACACAGTGGTACATGCCCTCAGTACAGCACTTGGGAGGCGGAGGCAGGCGGATCTGAGTTTGAGGCCAGCCTGGTCTATATAGTGAGTTCCAGGACAGTCAGAATTATGTAGAGAAACCCTGTTCAAAAATCTAAATTGTATATAATATATAGGCGAATGCATAGGAAATGCAGCAGAGTACAGGAGGAGTGTGTGACTGCTGCATTGCATTTCTAGGGAATAATGTTTAGTGTTTGTTTTTATTTTATTTGGTTTTTGACTGATCTCGTTGCTGGTCTGTGCCCTTAAATGATATTGTAGGAGCTTAGAACAGCAGGGAGAATGGGCTTGTTTGTGGAAGTCTTGTGAGCATTGCTGCTCTTTTCTCTTTCAGAAACAAACATATCATGATTGATCTGGGCACTGGCAACAACAACAAGATCAATTGGGCCATGGAAGACAAGCAAGAAATGGTTGACATCATAGAGACTGTGTACCGTGGCGCCCGCAAAGGCCGGGGTCTGGTGGTGTCCCCCAAGGACTACTCCACAAAGTACAGATACTGAGCACTGCCCTCACAGGCTGTGCAGAGGACACTGGGGACCCCTCCATGTAGAAATACTGAGCTCTTCACAGCCTTTGGGAAGGGCCTGCAGCAGAACACGGCTGGAGGCTGGAGGATCCTTGAGATGGGGGTTGTGGGGCCTTAACTAGCTGAAGCAAATAAACGTGCAGTGGGGAAGAGTCGGTTGCTGCTGTGTGATTTACTGACTGTGAATGTCTTTACTCTTCAAATGAAACCTAGGGTCGAGTAGTTGCTAGGGCTGTTGGAACAAACTACCACAGACTGGGTAGCTTCAACAAAGACACTCCCGCTTCAAGGGTGAGCCTGAGGTCAAGGTGTTCTGGGGTCCATTTGAGGCTGTGGGCCGCTGTCCTCGCCCCTTGGCTCTGGAGGTTTCTGGAAGTCTCTGCTGGTCCTTGGATTGAGGATACTTTGTCCCAGTCTTTGCATTTTCTTGACAAGCTTTCTTATGTGTGTATATCTCAAATACCCCTAGTTAGGAGAACACCAGTCACATAGCCTGAGTCACACCCCCTTCTGTACAGCCTTGTCTTGACTAATTACATATGATAGCCACTCCAAATAAAGTCATGGTCTGAGGTACTGGGTTTAGACATCAGTATATGAATTTCGAGGTGACAAACCCACAGCAGGATCCAGTCTTAATCTTACTCCTCATGTAAAATAGCACAGTGAGCCAGGTGTGATGTGACACACTCCTGCACTCCAGCTGAGACAGGGAGACGACAGGTCAGGCCAGCCTGCAGAACTCGTCTCAAAACACACACGCAGTGACCATTGGTGGAAGCCTTCCCCTGTGAGTAGTTTTCCACTCGTCAGACTGTTTCCATATGTATCATGCTTCCTATGGAGGTAGGCCCCTCATTCCACCCCAGGGAAGGCCCCTCGTCTACATCAGTTTCCTCTTGTTTCTTCTCTTCCCTGGCAGTGTCCTGGATCTTTCCTGTCACCTCTCTGAACACATCCTCAGAAGAGAAAGGAGCTAGCCTTACTGACAAGCTCCTCCCCGACGCAGGCAGGCCTCTGTGGCCTGGCGTGGTGGCACTCACTGGGCAGCTGGCAGATCGGCAGCGCCTGCTGTTGTTTGCTGTTAAAAGTCAGGAGTGAACCAAATTTCTTACCTACATTTACAAATAAATTTGCCTGTCAAATGGACTGAAATAGGGATGCAGCTTGGTGGTAGAAGCAGCACTCATAATCCCTAGCATTGCAGAAAGTAAAATTCATATGGAGATCTGCAGTTTCATCCCTAGGATGAATTTGCCCACTTAAATAGTCTAGCCGAGCATGATGGTGCACGCTTGGGAGGCAGAAGCAAGCAGATCTCATCTGGCTTAGATAGTGAGACCCTGTCAGGGAAAAAAGAAAAGCTTCGCTTTCTTCACTGCCCAGGGATGGGCCCATATGGAGGTGCTCTTGATTTCTGACGTAAAAGGAAACTCGGCGTCTGGAGCCCTTGCTTTCCTGTAGCTGGAGAGAATGTCCTCAGGTTCTTTGCAGCAGGAAAGCACTTAGGTAGTACAGCTTTACTCTCTACAGAACAGCATGGCTACAGAAGGAAAAGCGGTGGTATGCACGTCATAAACGTGAGAGAGCCGGGGAAAGCATCCCTGCTGGTGCCACCAGTGTGGCCTGTGTGGAGGTTTGCTGCTGCCGTTGGCGGAGACACTTCAATTGCTGGTGTCTTCACTCCTGCCACCTTCACTGACCGATGACAGGGTGGACGTTATCAGTTTCGTGTCAACCTGCCTCCCAGCCCTATGTAACAGGTTCTCAACACACTATGTAGATAGATATTACCATTTCATGCAGTAAATGCACTCATTTAGTGGTCTAACACGGTAGCTACTGGCCCGTGAGCACCAACAGGAGGTCATGTGTGATGTCAACAGAGATCCTGAGGAGAGGGAGAAGGAAGAACAAGCTAAGCTGGTCCTGAGAAGGCTATGGCCAAAGAGGAATTTCAGCACAAATGCCCGAGTTCACTGCTGTTCAGCTAGAGGTGGTAGCCAGGCCCGAAAGCATTCAGGTGCCTCTGTGCCCAAGCCACTGAGGACCACACTGCAGGTCTCACTGTTCAGCCACTGAATGGATTCAAACAGCTACCAGCTGCTCTCTGGAAGGTCAGCAAGCCAAAAGGCAGATGAAAGAAAAAGCAACATAAAACTTTGTAGTTATTTATTTATTTATTTACTTATTTATGGGGTAAAACACTGCAGAGGGGATTCTCTATGAGAATCAGCCCACAGTGCTTACAAGCTGGGGCGGTTAGAGTCCGGTGGAGGCCCAGAAGGAGGGTGAAGAGTTCCTTTTTAACCCACAGCCGACCACTGGGATTAGGGATTAGAGCAGTGTTTCTCACTCTTCCTAACGCCGCGACCCTTTAATATACAGTTCCTCATGGTGTGTTGCCCCCAACCATGAAACTGTTTTTGTTACTTCATAGCTGTAAGTTTGCTACTGTTATGAATCATAATATAAATACCTGTTCTCTGTTTGTCTGAGGTGACCTCTGTAAAAGGGTTGTTCCATCTCCAAAGGGGTCAAAACCCACAGGTTGAGAGCACTGTTAAAAATATCAGATGATCAGCAAATATCCTTCCTGACTGGCCATTACTAGGGTACCTGGGGCAGGGCAGTCAAGAACCTGGAGAAACAAGATAGTTTACTTCTAGAAACTAAATTACCACAATTAGCCATAGCTATTCTTCTCCAGGTACATAAGCAAAGTGGAAAGTGGATGGAAAATTCTCTCTAACTAAAAATAAATTATAAAGAAATGCATGATATAAAACTGGGCACGGTGGCACATGTGTGTGATAATAACACTCGAAATAGAGGCAGAAGAACACTTGAAATGGAGTTCAAAGCTAGTCTGAGCTAAAATACCATATCTCAAAAAGTCAAAAATAGGGGCCGGAGAGATGGCTTAGCAGTTAAGAACACCAGTTGCTCTTCCAGAGTTCAAATCCCAGCACCCACATGGCAGCTCACAACTGTCTGTAACTCCAAGATCTGGCATCCTTACACAGACAAATGTGCATATAAAATAAAAATAAATAAAAAATTTTAAAGTAAAAAATAACTCAAACTACATCTCAGTGTTATAAGTAGCAAGTTTTTTAAATATGTGACCTCGCATATAACAGACATTGAGTATATTCCTGGCATTCTTTTAAAGAAGGGGAAATGACCAGAAAACAAATAAAAATATGCAGCGTCACTGTTTGGGAAGGAAATGAAATCAGCCACAGTTTGATTTCATTTCTTCTCCACTAGCACGCTGTATTCATAAGAACAGGCAGTAACAAGTGTTGGTGAATATGGGGAGAAGTTGCAGCCTTCATAAACCGCTGGTGAGATTATAATGGGAACAAGATAGACATGTCCTCAGAAAGCTCAATATGATATTATATTCTAGCCATGTCACTCCTAGGTATAGCCAGTCCTACCCCAACCCTCAAAAGAAGAACATATGTCCACACAGAAATATGTATCCATATTTGTGGAGCCTGGGTGTCCACCCCTGCATGAACAGTCGCAATGTACAGACAGGAAGTGGATGAGTGGTTGTGTAGGACGTGGTGTGGTAAGAGGTGGGTGTGTAACAACTGCCTGTGGGTTTTCTTTGATATTATGAACAAGTTCTAGAATTACTTATGTTGTTTGCACAATGAACATAAGTTGTTTACTGAATTGGTGTGAATTGTATGAAGTTAGATTACTCTTTCTTGATAATAGTTTTTCAGATGTTATGAGAAAAAAGTGAGCAAACATTTTCCTTTCCACATTCCTTGTTCATTGTATACCTCTTGTTATCGTATGCTTGAACTGTCCTGGTGGGGGAGGTCCTTCTGTCTGTGTGTTGCTTTTATTGTTTAATGAATAAAGAAACTGCTTTGGTGTTGGAGAATTGTCTGTAATCTGTCAATCATGTTTTAAATAAATGCTGATTGGCCAGGCAGGAGGTGTAGGTGGGAAAACCAGACAGGAAGTGGAAATGATGTAAGGAGAGCAGGAGAATTCTGGGGAGGAGGAAGTTGATTCCTTCCACTCCTGCCCAGATCACTGACGCAGCAGGATGTGAGCTGCCCCACTGAAAAAGGCACTGAGCCACATGGCTAACACAGATCAGAAAAATGGGTTAATCAAGATGTGAGAGTTAGCCAGTAAGAAGCCTGACCTAATGGGCCAATCAGCATTATAACTTATAGAGATCTCATGTGTGATTTTTCTCTGGGATTAAACAGCTGGGGGGCCAGGCAGGACAGAAACCCCCCCCCCAACAAACAGGCCCCCTCATGTTACACTGCTTTGGACCTATAGCAGAGCTATAGGGGAACAGAGCTAAGTGGGGAAAACTAAGCTGAATGCTGGGAGAAAGAAGGCAGAGTCAGAGGAGAAGCCATGGAGCCCAGCTGGAGCCAGACGGAACTTTAGCTGGTAAGCCACAGCCACATGGCAATAACACAGATTACTAGAAGTGGGTTAGATTAATATAATAAGTGTTAGCCAATAAGAAGCTAGAGCTGATGGGCCAAGCAGTGTTTTAAATAATACAGTTTCTGTGTGGTTATTTTGGTTCTGGGCGGCCAGGAGGAACAAGCAGCCCCCTCCCTACTACACTGTCCTAACAGAATGAACAGACTGGCCTAAACAGGGGAAATGAATTTTCTCAGTTCTGGAAGTGCAAGGCCAAGGTTTGGGGACAGTTTGGCATCAGGATACTGGCCTGTAGAGGACAGCCTTCCCAATGTGTCCCCATGATCTGTCTTAGTATGCACACGGAGAAAGATCAAACTGCTGTCTCTTAGGAGGACACCAGACCTGCTGGATCAGGGTGCTGCCCTGGTGACCTCATTTCTCTTGTGATCTCATTTATCCCTAATTACTTCCTTAGAGGCCTTCTTTCCAAATACAGCTGTCATGGGGTCAGCGTCCCAACCTACCTGTTGAAGGTATGTAAACATTCAGACCATCCCAGATGCAGAAGTTTTGTTCAGTTGGCTCTCACTCTGTGACCATCTTCACTGGTGCTCCAAGACTGCAAAATAGTTGATTTGATCTCGCATTCCTGCTTGGATCCAGCTGAAAGCAGCTGGTGGATCTCTCAGCACCTGGAGATTCATCACCAAACATTCCAGGATGCCCTTTAGGCAATGCCCAGGAATTACACAAGATAGAGAAGAGTAAGCTTGGGTCTACAGCCATACCACCCTGAATGTGCCCCATCTCATCTGATCTCAGAAGCTAAGCAGGGTTGGGCCTGGTTAGTACTTGGATGGAAGAAGAGTGAGCTTGAAAGTAAACTCAGGGGACACAACTTTGCCAGTGCACACAAGGAAAACGGCAGCCTTACTGCATGCTATTCAAAGATGCACCAGGCACAAAGAGAAACTAAATGGCTCAGTTACTGTTGCATGGCACTGAGTTGTTGGTCCAGAATCCCAGGGATCAACAAATTGCCCAGGTCAACAAATAGCAAGGTGCAGAAAGCTGCAGTCTGCCTGTGCAGTCTCAGAGCATGCAAGACAAAGACCTAACACATGAACACGCAGTGTTCACACTGGGCCATTTAGGAGCCCTGAGGGTGGGCAGCCCAGACTGCTCTGGAGCCGCAGAGAAGGCCTGACAGATACAGCGCACCATACAGGGCACAGCTGAAAAGTAAAGTATGGGGGAGCAGCCCCATCCATAAATTCAGATTTCAACCAACTAAAAGCATAAAAATTGTACTTTGTTTTTGAGACAGGGCTGGCCTAGAACTCATTAAATAGACCCGGCTGCTCAGGCTCAGAGATCTGCATGCCTCTGTTGCCTGGGTGTTGGGATTAAAGGCAACCCCTGCAAGCCATTAGTTTTAAATTAAAACCAAAAGCAGGGTAAGGAAAATAAGATGGATGAACATGCAGAGGCTCACAGAAGGCCAGTGAGAACTCATTTCGGGAATATTGGGCATATAATCTCAATCTATGGGGGTTTTGTTTGTTTATTTTGACAGGTATCTGCTATGGAGTCCAAGGGTAGCCTCAAACTCACGATCTTCCTGCCTCAGTTTCCCTATTGCAGGGATTGCAGACTTGGGAAATAGCTTTCTTGATTCTAATGATGAGGTCTCAGATCTGACTTTCTTCAACTATCCAGAGACTTGATTCTACTTAATTGTAGAATTACAGTGATAGCTAAGATGCTCTGAAATTTAGCACATAGTCAAATGGCACTACCTTGACTTCAAACCACCAAACTTTCAAACTTGAACGATCCAACTTAAGGCACACTGTTAGGATCAAAAGATGTCTACTATCATTGAGAACAATGCACGGTCCTTTCTTAGCTATGCTTGGCTGATTTAGTCACATTTCTGACTTGCTGAAATGTGCAAGGGGTTTGTCGGTAATTTTTCACAATGGCATTATTAATCACATCACAAAAAGGAGTAATTGCCTCAGTGTCCAAGAACTAGTAAACCTTAAGTTGCCTAGATGACTATTGCCATATACTGAAATATTCGGCAGCCACTGGGGGAAAACGGTGAAATGATACCTAAAGAGAATAGGCTATTAGATTAGAGGTGACATGACTGAACATATTAAACTCCATAGGACAAGTGTCATCGGTGGCCAATTGGTGGTGGAACCGGAGTGATTTTCAGTTTATGTTATGTAGAAGTATCTTGTTGTGAATGAGGCCCTTTAGAGGATAACAGCTATTTCACATTGGTTTGAGAAACTGTTCAAAAGGCTGACTAGCCTATGAAATTATCTTGACCTTGTTCTATTCTTCAGTGATTCCTGGGTGGGGTGAGGATCACCTCAAGGCTCAGGAGTGCTCTCTCTGGGAGAAAAGCATCTGCCCCTGAGTAAAAGATAAAGGACAGTATGGTTGCTGTGGAACAGGGTTCTGAGGCTGAGAAGTTTGCTGTTCAAGTTCCTTTGTGTTGATTTGAGCTCTGGGGTCTTCATTTTGCAGAACAGTTGCTGCTGAGTTCCTTAGCCTGGTTATGTTTGATCAAGTCTTGAAGGCATGAGTGACGAGCAGGAGGGAGCTAGAACAGGTGTTTAAAAGCAGATACATAGGGGGCTGGAGAGATGACGCAGTGGCTTAAGAGCACTAACTTCCTGAGGACCTGGATGAGACTCCCAAGCGCGTAGATTGCAGCTAGCAACCATGTTTAACTGGAGTTCCATGGGCTCCAACACCCTCTTCCGGACACTGCACGCACACAAGCAAAACATCCATACACTTAAGATAAAAAAATAAATCTCAAGAAAGTTTAAAAAAATGTTACCAGGTTCATTTGCTTAGAAGAGCAGCATATTAATTAAAAAGAAAATAAAAATAATAAAAGCAGCTACAGGAACAAACAGGAAGTTGGGGGAGGGGGAGGGAGGAAGTGCGAGGAGTAAGGGGAAGGGGAAGAATATGATAAAATATATTGTAAGAAAAAATTAATAAAAATGAAAGCAGCTAAAAGCAGTTACATCAAGACAACTGACTTTTTTAAAATCAAGGTAGAATTTTAATTTGGAAAATATGTTAACTAATATAGTGTATGCTTTACTTCCATGATTTACAAATACACATTAAAAAATATTTTGTTCTTATTTACAAGTCTCATCTTTGGTATATAGTCACTTTCTGAAGTATGCTATTATTTTATTGCTTTTTTGTTTTTTATTTGTTAAAATGAATTTTATTTTTTAATGGGTTAGCATATAGCCCAGTGGTAGCCACTTGTCTACTACATTTTAGGTCCTGGGTTTTATTTCAAGTCTCCAAAAAAACAAAATTAAAAACCAAACATCAAAATTCATATTGCACAGATTATTCAAGCAGTACAGATTTCATCTTCGCAATTTCACAGGGCTCGTTTAACATCGTCAGGTCTGAAAGAGGATTTGAAAGAGATAAGTTTATTTACATGGTTTATAAACAGATTAATTAATGTTCAGTTAAATAAGTTCTAGAGTAGTTTTCAATAAAATTCCATAATTACTAGTAATCATTAAATATTTATATATAGCAAAACTCAGTACAGAGAAATACTTCAATGATAGAAATTCCTTTTCTTCAGATAAGTGCACTTTGTGGGCACTGGGGCCGCAGCATGGAGTCCGTCACTGTGACTAACCACCCCCAACTCACTGTTCTCTGGTGTGTAGGGGACAGGAACTTTCTAGACAAAATTCTGCATTTACTGCATGCCGGGATATATTGTACAATTTCGAAGCACAGATAAAAAGCCTATATCATCAACTGTAAGGGTTTTTAGTATGGATATGGGGTTATCTGCACAATGGGAGAACCATGTAGGGTTTGCAGGGTTTCTGAAGCCCCGTGTGAAACCCCCAGCTGAGAGCAAGCACAAGTTGGTGCAAGTCTTCTAATTACTTAGGCCTTTGTTCTGAAAGGCTTTAACGGCTTTTAGATAGCTGGCCTCAGCCATGTTGCCTTTGGTGAGTGTGTGCATTAAGAAAGCGAAATTTTTACTTAAACACTCAATTTGACATCTAAACCTATATTTGGTTGGTGTTTTAATCCACTGGATTCAGAGCCAGAGTTTGAGAGGCTCACCCTGCAGGTGACGGCCAGAGCAGCATTCGAGTCAGCGTACCAGATGAGCGCTGTCTGTTCCTGCCGCCACTCTATTGCCCTGTTCTCAAAAGATGGGAATCTGACGGAGGGAGGGTGGAGGATTTGGAGTCCACAGTGCCCGGAGGCCCCTGGGTGAACGGGGTGTATTTGAATGGACTTTCATAGGTAAAGAAAGCTGCATGTTTTGTCTCCAGTCAGAAATTTTACTTCTATTTTGCCCTGTTGAGTTTTTTTGGGGGGGATCCCCCCATGCTCATTCCTCCAGTGTTTTGAAACCACTGATTAGGATAGCCCCACATCACTGATAGGTGACCTAGCTCTGGGTTAGCTGGGTAAGCAGGGGTGATTTACCATAAACTGACAGTGAGACAGAAGTAAACAGGGGTATCTAAATTGTTCAATGACCTTGTCGGGGGGAGGGGTGGCAGCAGTTGAAGGGGAGGGGTGAGAAGGGGTAAATGAGAAGAAAGTAGATTGTCATATGTATCTAACAATGCCACAATGGGTTGCATTTCCAGAAGTCCTGAGTTCAATTGCCAGCAACCAGTGCTCTTAGCCTCTGAGCCATCTCTCCAGCCTGCATCTTTCTTCTTTAACTGATCAAACAAATGTATTATCTCAGACAGGAAGCCTTTCACTATAATTGTGTTGTGGCTAAAAGCTGACTTGAGGAATAAGGATGAAAAATACTCTTATAAAATCTAATTTTTAGATGAGAATTTTAAGGAATGACGACCACGTTTTAGTGGTAAAAGAGCTCATGGACGCACCTCTCCTTAGTACTGAAGACTTCTCATGTACCCCAGGGACAGTTCACACAGTGGTGAAAGAACTCATAATACACACAGGCTGAGTCTTAACCATGGCCTTACCCTTTGTTCTTTGATTGAATTCTCGATTCCAGCTTGAGCCATTAGGTCATCAACATTTTTCTGCAGGTCCTCGATGCGATTTCCCATTTCTTCCAGTACAATGTCAAGGAGAATGGCACATGTGGGTCCCATTAGCCCGACTCACGGAAAGCTCCTGCTTCAGCCTGCACCTGCTCGGCACATGTCCCTGTGCACACGGCAGAGTGGCTTGCCCAGTGAGGGAGTCAGGCTGTCCAAAGTCCGTGTAATTACCCCTCCCTCGGCTTTTCTTAGCACATTGTCTTTAAGTGTGGACTAAATTTTGTGTCTTCAGCTGTGGACTAAGTTTTGAAAACAGTGCCCCAGGCTTGGACATAGGCTTGAAGACTTGAGTTTGGCGAGCTTGAGCCGAACTCTGAGTCACTGAGTGTAACTGTGATGGACATTAGCTCATTTTTAAACCAACTTCTTGGTAGCTTATTTTTTAAAACCTAGGGGGGAAGGGAGAAGCAGGGAGGAGAGCAGAGAAAAATGTAGAGCTCAATAAAAATCAATCAAAAAAGTATCTAGTGGGTGTACACGAGTTGGGTGAGTGTGTGTGTGTGTATACACGTGTGTGCACGTGTACAAATGACACAGGTTTGAAGGTCGGGGACAACTCTCTGCAACAGTTGTCTCTTTTCAGGAGGGAGCCTGTGGATGGACCTAAGGCGTGGTAGCAAGCACTCCTGCAGGCTGACTCATTTCAATGGCCCACTTCACTTGATTTATTATTTCAGGTTTATTTATTTTATGTGTGTAAGGGTTTTGCCTGAATGTATATATGTTCACCACAGACTTGCCTGGTGCTTGAGGAGATCAGAAAGGGGTGTGGGATACCCTGAACCTGGAGTTACAGATGATTGTGAGCCACTCTGTGGGTGCTGGGAACCAAACCTGGGCCCTCTGTAAGAGCAGCACATGCCTTAACAGCTGAGCCGTCTCTCCAGCCCCTGAATAGGATTTTTAAAGTGAATTTAATCATGTAAAAAAATCATGTTTAAAAACCCCTTCGATTTGGCAAGTCTTAGGGCAGATGCTAACCTATATTTACACACACTATATTTTATTTTTAAATTTTATAAAATAACTATATCCTTGTAAACTCACAAGTAAAGCCATCACAGAACCAGTTTAAGCAAGCCACCCAAACACTTGCCCGGTTCCAGCTTGCCATTCTAAACATGAAGAGGCTCCCTGACACGTGGGGCTGGGACTGAGCATCCGGTTCTTCTGAGATGAACACTGACTTGCTTATTCCAGGCAAACTGAAGGTGTGCCCCAGGAATGTCCTTCCGTGCTGGAATCCATCAGCACTGCTCTCTTCGGTTCCCGATTGCTGTGGTGTCTGTGCTGCAAGCCAGACAGGCTCAGTGAGGCCTGCAGGGCAGCCCCTCAGCCAGAGCTGAGGTTTGCTCTCTCAGCTTTTTCTACTGGCCGTTCAAATGCCTTGCTTTGCCAGTCAGTCGGAAGCAAAGCCCGTGCCAAGCGAATGATGTTTAATACCCCCCTTGCCACATAGAAACACAAACGCAAACACTAGGACATCACGCGGAAGCAGTCGCGTGCCGCTATCAGAGAACAAGATACTACTCCACTGCAATCTACCACCCCGACGGCTTGATAGTGTTTGGTGAGCCCAGGAAAGGATATTTCTGAGGTTTAATGTTGTAGTCATAGCTCGGAAGTGTTCTTCAAGCTCCTGAAGTAGATTTTCTGCCTGAAAATGAACTTTAGGTAACTGAACAAAGTATTTATTATTAGTGTAGGACATCATAAATATCATGGAGTACCTAAACATACATGCCCATTGATTTTGGTTTATTTTTTTTCTTTTGTTGCTTGAGACAGGGCCTCTCTATTAATCCCAGCTATGCCGGAACTCATTGTATGGACCCAGATGGCCTCCAATGTTCATTGACCTCCTTCTGCCTCGCAATCTTGGGAAAATAAGTTATTCGCCATGATACAGGGCACTTGTTTTGGTTGTTGAGGCAGGGTCTGCTTATGTATCCCAGACTGACCAGGAACTCAGATCCTCCTGCCTCGGCTCTCCAACACGGGGATTACAGGCCTGAGCCTGTATCTGTGCCATCTGTATGATGGACAAGATCTAAACAAGACAGAGGGGCTCTAAGTCATCTCCCTGGGGACTGAGCACAGGAAGCAGTTCAGGGCGAATCAAAGGCCAGCGGGCCCTTTGTTTGAGCTTCGGCTGTTTAATAGTGTATGGCACAACGCCTACAGAAATGCCACTGTGGTGACTGCCAGGCTTTCGGGTTCTTTGATGCTTTATGGTCCACACATCCTGTATGTGTCTACCTTGTGTGATCCTTGTCCCAACACCTTTGGTGCCTGTCCTAAAGTGTGGAAGCGTGGGTCCTGGAATCTGGACCCTGCATTCTGTGTAGGTTCCCTGTGGCAGGCAGCCTTCAGAAAGAATGTAAATTAAGTGGGCTCTAGTGGACTCTTTCAAATGGGACAAACACAAGGACCTGGCATGGTCCTCATGGTTATGCTGGCAGGAGTTATCAGAAACACCACTGTAGGAACTGCTTTGGCAGGGGCCAGAGAAGACACCAGGAGAAGGAACGGGGCGGGGCTTCGGCTTGAGGCGGAGCCTTTAGAAGGGAAAGGAGGGGTGGGCGGGATCTGGGGCACGGGAGTGGGACCTGGAGAAAGGGAAAAGGACTCTCAGATGGCTAGGGACTTAGGACAGAATTGAAGTGGGGGAGGGGAGAGGCTGAGCAAGGTATGGGACAAGGATCCGGGATCTGTAGGAACAAGTTTCATCCCCAACAGCTCAGCGTCCGCCATCTACCGCTTTGGCTCAAGACTTCGGTTCCCCAACACTCCTACGGCTGTGACCTCGATCCCTTCTAGTACCCTAAAGCCGGTGACCTCGGTCCTCGGAGCCCTAGGGCACGCGTCACTCACCGCGTTCTGCAGCACGTCCCCGCAAGGAACTTCCGGCGCTCGGGCGTCCATCTGCACTGGCGTAGCAGTCTGGGGTCCCGGGTTTTGGGTGAACCCAGCAGGTGTCGAGCTTTGGGTAGGGCACTGGCAACCCTGGAGAGAGCGCAGGGGCAGGTGGGGACCGGACCAGCAGCCGGCCAATCCGGCTTTGCTGCGTGTTTTCATCCTTCAGCGAAGGTGACCTGGGAGGAACTCTGTCGGTACTTATTTATTCTTGTTACTGTGATACAGTAAACACGGCCAGATAGTGAGACCCCCTAGCCACTTCTGAATGCACAGTGCAATGCAGTAAGTACGCACACCCCGCCTCTCCATCTCCAGAGCTTCTGGTCTCCCACTGATACTCAGTGCCCATCAAACAGCAAGGGACCCTCCCCTCTTGATCCCACACCTTGCTAGCTTTTGTCTAGTCACACACTTTCATATGATGCGCTGGCTCTTAGTGGGGCGATGGCACACCACACTGAACAACTGAATCTGTTACTGCAAATCTGTCGTTTCTGAAGGTCTAAAGATGTAAGCTTCAGAGCTGAGTATCTTCAGGGATGCTCACAAGTCTGATTTCATTGTGTGTCTGGAAACATGATCTCAGGACTCCTTTTCTTTCTTTTCTTTTCTTTCTTTCTTTCTTTCTTTCTTTCTTTTTTTTTTTTGGATTTGTTTTGTTTTGGTTTGTTTTGTTTTTCAAGACAGAGTTTCTCTGTGGCTTTGGAGCCTGTCCTGGAACTAGCTCTTGTAGACCAGAACCCACAGAGATCCGCCTGTCTCTGCTTCCTGAGTGCTGGGATTAACGGTGTGGGACAATACCGCCTGGCTTTCCTTTTCTTTTTAAGTCTGAGTTGTGGTCACATTGTGGGTGATTCCCAGGGCCAGCCTTTTATCAGTTACCCGCTTTGTTTATACGCTATCACTCCTTGGGCTGAAGGCTGAAAGGATGAGCAGACTGTGTCATTTAGGGCACCTCAGTATCTCTAGAGCCTAGTGCAGAGGTACCACATGGATGCCAGCGTGCTGCGAATGTTTAAATAGATGGGGTGGCAGTGCAGCATGGCTGAAGAGTTGGCTCATTGGTTAAGGGCACCGGCTGCTTTTTGCACAGGACTAGGATTTGGTTCCCAGAACACCATGTGACTGCTCAACTGTCTGTGACTCCAGTTCCAGGAGATCTAATGTCCTCTCCTGGCCTCCACAGGCATGGCATGTACATGATGTGCTTACAGACATGAAGAGAAAACATGTCTACACATAAAATAAATAGAAAAAAACCTTAAAAAGAACATGGCCTTCCAGGCAGAGGCACCCAACGCCACTGATCATCAGCACCCACCACGAGCCCCTGCTTCACCCCCACAGGGATGGCAGCAGGAATGCAGCATCGTGCAGCCCCTTTGGAAAATATAGGTAGACAGGATTCGCCACATAACCACATTCCACTCCTAGGTGTGTACAGGAAACAGCCGCGTACACCCACACAGAAACACACACACACACCTTTTATAGCAGCGCCCACTCATCACACGGGTCAAGGAGGAGGCAGCCTGATGGGCAAGCAGATAAGGTGTGTGTGCCTATGAATGCCACTCAACAACAGGCAAGTACGATGGTACACATGGCGCGAACAAACTTCACACACAGCAAAGGAAGAAAGGCCACCTGTAGCATGAATAATAAAAACCCAGAGACAGAAATTGGGGGTTGACCCAAAAACCAGAAAAGCAAGGTAGTCAAGCCCTTAGAGAAGTCTCACCTCTGCCACGGCTGGGCGACCATAAACTAAGCAGAACTGCCTCTCTCTCCTCTCATTTTATGTTCCCTCTAGTGCTGGGATTAAGGGCGTGTTGGGATTAAAGGCGTAGGCCACCATCACTTGGATTTGTTTCTGCATTAATTTTGTGTAGCCCAGGGTGGTCTTGAACTCAGAGATCCATCTGACTCTGTCTGCCAAATCCTGGGATTAAAGGTGTGTGTCACCATTGCCTGAACTCTAGTGGCTTTAGCTTTGCCTCTGGTCTTCAGGCAAGATTTATTTATCAAAATACAAATAATATACAACTACAGCCACCTATTAAATGACCCCGTTATAAAAAACATCAGTAACTAAGACAGTCACAGAGACAGTACCTTAGTGGTTGCTATAGTGTGAGGAGGGGGACGGGGAAGAAGGAAGGGAGGAAGCTGCTTCATAGCAAAGGGTTCCTTCTTGAGGAACCAATTTCCTGACCTTGAACTGCAGTAATGGCTGCACAATTTGTGTAAATACTAAAAACCATTGGATTACTTATTTGAGTGAATTTCACAGTATGTGAATTATATAACAATGGATGAGTTTAAATAATAAATTTTAAAAGTATGGATGGTCTGCCTTTTAGGTCTGGGGTGGTTTGAATAAAAATGGCCCCCATAGGCTCATGTATTTGAATGCTTACTCCACCAAAGAGTGGAACTTTTTAAAAGGATTAGGAGACATGGCCTTTTTGGAGGAAGTGTGTCACTGGAAGGTCAGGCCCACTCTCCCCACCCCCAGTCTCCCTTTGAAGTCTCAGTTATGTTCAAGCCACGTCCACTGAGACAGACCGTTTTCTGTTGCCTTTGGGTCAAGATGTAGAACTCTCAGCTCCTTCTCTAGCACCATGTCCGCCTGCATGCTGCCTTACTTCCTGCCATGACAATAATGGAGTAAACCTCTGAACTGTAAGTCAGCCACTTCAATTAAGTTTTTCCTTTGTAAGAGAGGCCACAGTTATGGTATCTCTTCACAGCAATAGAAACCCTAACTAAGACAAGTAGGAAGGGGTATGAGAGCTGGCCCTGCATGGCCCCCAGTCATCCTATGCAGCCTGAGTTAGCTTGTGCAGCAGCAGCAGCAGCAGCAGTAGCAGCAGCAGCAGCAGCAACTGACTTCCCTTTGCAGACAGGTGTAAGGAAAGCTGGGAACCTAGAGTCTAATTCAGGGTATTCTATCAGAAGTGCACTATAGATTCAAAGCCTGGGACTCACTAAAGCCACTTTAAGGAGCAAAAGGAAATCTTTCTGGAGAGACAGGACCAAGGCTTTGGCAAGGCTGGCTTCACCTGGCTGGCCTGGCTTCAGTCTATGGCAGCCCAGCTCAGAGGGTCTTCCAGTTACTTTAAGGACATGGGACTGTTTTTCAATGGTGTCCTCACTCCCTTGGGCCTTTTCAGTCCATAGAATCACGGTGTTTCTGACATCCCTTGCCAGCATAGCCAGCATCAGGCAGGGCAACAGAGAACTGGTAGACACCATGGAGCCAGATTCAGTTCAATCTAAGCAGTAAGAGCCTCGGTGTGGCTCTAATGGATGCACACATCCTCCACACATTTCGCTTTTCACATTGCCGACAACGTAAGCATAGCAAGCAGCAAGCAGAGCCTGGACCACAGAAGCTAGGACCAGACAGGGAGACTAGCAGAGGCTATCCTCACTAGCGAGGACTCTCAGGAGGTTCCCATGTTTGGCCAACCCTCATTGGATATTTCAGCTGTGTCCAGACTAGCCAGAGCAGAGCCAAGTGGCGTCTAGATAAAGCATAGTCCTGTAGGCTATTAAGACAAAGACCTCCCTGGCCCCCCAGACCCTACCAGAGACTCAGGAGGTCAGGTAGAAATAAGCCTGGTGGTGGGGGGCCGTCCATGATCCCTCTCTCATCTGAAAGTGGTGCACACAGTAGTCACAAGCAGACAGAACCAACTCTGGGACCATGGAATATTTCAGAGGAACATTCCGGAAGTGGAACCATTTCAGAGAGTCCTTGATGTGTTTGGGATGGGATGGAGACAGTTTTGGGGGGTCAAGATCAAGATGCGGGGTTAAAGCAATGCATCTTAGGAAGCTTTCAACCTCCTTTCCCCCATCACCGTAGAGCCACATGAAGAGCCACACACAGAGCCACACACAGAGAGCCACGCAGAGCCACGCAGAGCCACATGCAGAGCCCTGCTTATGGACACAGAGAGGAGCCTCTTTGTACTGGGCCGGATCAGAAGCTGGAACAATGTGGTGGGACTTACAGGTAGGAGAGGAGACTATCAGCCTGTTCCTCACCTTTGCGTCTCAGGTTCTACCTCTCTCCACAGCTCTCCGTCTGCTTCTCCGTCTCTTCCACGTCTCCACCTCAAGCTTGATCATTACAGCGGCAACCACCTGGCATGGCTCTGGACTGGGGTTCTGACTGTTCTTCCACCCAGTCCCACCTGTCATTCCTCAAAAAATCTTGCTTTCCCACATGCTTGGTTCAGGACAAATGCTGTACCGGTGGAGAAGGGAGGACTCGCAATGGACTCGCCATGGCAAACGAGAGGCACCCAGGACTAACCTGCTCTGTGATACAGAGCTGAGGACACTTCATAAGCTGGCACATCTAGAGGGTCTCACATTCTACTTCTGGACAGTCACTTACCCAGTAATAACAAAAAGAGGCTTCTGTCTGTAGCCTATCAACACCGGGCCCTCACTGAGACTCCCCTCTGCTACCCTGCTATTGCCCCAAGCCAGGGAAATCCTGCGGTTCTCAAGAAAATAGCCCAAGACTGGAGTTCCTATTCATGCTATCAAAGATGCAGACCACTGAGCAGAAGAATAAAGTGGATCTAATTCTAAATTAGAAAACACATTTCATCTGGGTAGGTGAGTGCTTCACAGTACAACCGAGGCTGGGAGGAAGCTGGGGGAGGGGCGGCTGCTGGCCAGTGCAGCTGCTGTCCTGCCCTCTGGACCTCAGCAATGAAAGGTTTTGGTCCTAGGGCCTTGTGGTAAGCTGGCAACTGCCTATGGGCAGTTGGAAGTTCATTTGCGCCCATGCATAGTACCCCTGTTGCTGGCATGTTCAAGGGACTCTCATGCAACCTTAAAATGTTTTTGGTTAACTCTTCAAGAATTTTATACCATATAATCTGATCACTTCGTTTTCCTCCCTAACTCCTACCAGATCCTCTCCCGCCTTCCCACCCACCCAATTTCAGGTTTTCTCTCTCTGTTCTCTCAAATGAAAAGAAAGAAAGGAGGGAGGGAGGGAGGGAGGGAGGGAAGAAGGGAGAGAGGGGAGGAGGCAGGAAAGAAGGAAGGAACTTATGGAGTCCAGTTCATGGGAATGTGATCAGTATACCAGCAACACTCCATCGACAGAAACTGATTTTTCCGCACCCAGCAGCTGCCAAATGGCAAGAACTCCTCAGCAAGGGGTAGGACATTGTGTCCACTTCCCCTTTCTATTCTGGGGTTTGTCTGGCTTGGGTTTACGAAGGTCTTATGTGTGCTGTCATGGTATCTGGGTTCATATGTGCTTTTGACCTCCAGGGTCTGGAAAATACAGTTTCCTTGAAGTCATTCGCCATATCTAGTTCTTATCATCTTTCCAGCCCCTCTTCCACATCCATTCCCGAGCCTGGGGAAGAGGGGTGTGATGTAGACGGCACATTTGGGGCCAAACATGCCAGGTTCCCTTATTCTCTGCATGTTGGCGAGTTGTCGAGGTTCTGTGTTAATTGGCGTCTACTGCGAGAAGTTTCTCTAATGAGTATTGAGGAATGTGTTGA